ATATATCAGTTTCAAGGGACGAATCCATTGATCCTGAACATGATAATGATTGTGAAATACCTGGTGATCACATATCAGTTTCAGGAGAAGAAATTGTTACTAATCCTGAAAATTCTAATTTTCCTAATTTTTCAGACACAGATGATACTAGATTTGAAGAAAATGCTAGTTTACAACAACCTGCAAACGGGAGGCCTGTGCGTGAACGGCGATTACCTTTTTGGACTGAAGATTATGAAATGAATTATTTTACCAATATGGCAATGTTAGGTAAAAATGAGCCTAACAGTTTTCATGATGCTGTTACTTCAGATGAAAGAGAACAGTGGATTGAAGCCATGAAAGATGAGTATAACTCACTTTTATCGCATGGTGTATGGCAATTAGTTGATAGACCAAAAAATACTAATATAGTAAAATGTAAATGGGTATTCAAAATAAAAGTGGATGTTGATGGTAATTTAGATAAATATAAGGCTCGCTTAGTCGCAAGAGGCTTCACACAGCGATATGGCATTGACTATGAGGAAACCTTTGCACCTGTAGTCAGATATTCTACTCTTCGCACATTATTTGCCATTGGAGTAGAATTTGACATGGACATTGAACATGTTGATGTCAGTACAGCTTTTTTAAATGGCGATCTTAATGAAACCATTTACATGGAGCAACCTATTGGTTTTGAGGTTGATGGCAATAATAAAGTGTGTTTACTCAAAAAGAGTCTATATGGCTTAGGCGAGCAGAGCTTGGAATGAGAAAGTTCATGAAGTTCTGATTCGTCATGAATACAAGCAGTTAAAGAGTGAAAAATGTGTATATATCAAAGATTACAACGAATACAAAATAATCATCGCTTTGTATGTGGATGATTTTTTTGTTTTTAGTAACACTCAAGAGGGAAAAACTGAACTGTATGATATTTTGAGTAGTAATTTTAAAATAAAGGTATTAGGACCAGTTAAACAAGTTTTAGGTTTAAAAGTCGAAAGAAACAGGAATAAGGGCTTTTTAAAATTATCACAAGGTGAATATGTAAAAACCTTGTTAAATAGATTTGGAATGGAAAATTGCCATAAAATATCAACACCCATGGATGTTAACTCAAAGCTAGAGAAAGCTTTAAGTTGTGATACAAAATATCCATACCAAGAGTTAATTGGGGGTATTATGTATCTTGCGGTCTGCACTCGTCCAGATATTGCTTATGTTTGTAGCAAATTAAGTCAGTACAACACTTGTTACGACAAAACACACTGGACAGCTGCAAAACGAGTATTGAGATACTTGGTTGGAACATCTGATTATGGACTTTTATATAGTAAAAGTGGGACTAATATAGAAATATCATGTGACGCTGATTGGGGCGGAGACAGCAATGACAGAAGGTCTTATACGGGACTTGTAAGCAAATTTGGCAATTCTATAATAAATTGGGAATCTCGAAAACAACAAACTGTAGCATGTTCAAGTACAGAAGCTGAATATTATAGTTTAGGAAGTGCTGTAAAAGAAGCAAAGTTTGTACGAAATTTATTTTCAGAATTACGTTTAATAAATTTACAGGAACCAATTACCATTTATAATGACAATCAGAGTACACAAAAGATTGTTAATAATCAGGCGTTTAAACGAACTAAACATATTGATATACATTATCATTTTGTTAAAGAAGCTGTTGAGAGTGGTCAAGTCATTATTAAATATAAAACCACAAATGAGTTAGTAGCTGATTTATTTACGAAAGCTCTTCCTAAAATAAAACATAAAAAATTTGTAGGAGAGATAGGACTTGACAAAATAGTTATTTAATTTAATTTTTTTTTAGGTTTATTTTTATAACTCTACTCGACTATGTTGGTAATTAATAGTTTAGGAAATGTCATAGTTATAATTTTAAATTTAACATACTCGAGTAAGGGGAAGTGTTAAAAAAATCACCCTGTATTTAAACAATTTTTATTTGAATGTTTTTTTTTTGTCAAAAATATATCATTTTTAATGTCAATAAACTCTTCCGTTTAAAAGGAGAATAATTTATCTTTCCAGAAGAAGTTTCAGTGTCCAATACTTAACAGTAAATAAATACAATTTATAGTTAAATGTTACAAAAAGTTTGCTACTCGTCTTGTCATTTTTTTACATTACATTTAGTAGTTTAAAAAATAAAATATTAGGTACTAATAATCTTATAATATCAACCCATACATTCCATTTTGTAGAACTGGAGGTAAACTGCACTATATCGACATACAACAACTTATGCAAATTAAAATAAAGTAGTTTTAGTAGTTAGGTTAGTAAAAAATATAAATATTCTGACAATAAATGGGTGTCTAAATGCATATCTAGTTGAAATTTAATAATTTAACAACATTTAATCTGCTGCACTAAAAAGTTGACTAGAATGACAGTGCAGTTTAGCTCCTAGGCATAGAAATATATTCACATTTTATATAATTATTTTAAATTTCATCTGGCTAAAAAGTGTGACTCAAACATTCAATTCTGACAAATGATGCACCTTCTTGACACTAAGTTGATCTAATAAAAATTTGCTTTATCTTTCTTTTTTTAGAGGAATTTGTTGCTCATGGCGAAGAAGGCAAAGACAACTTGTGTCTATCCTCAACTTCAGCAGAAGTAGAATTTATTGAACAAGTGCATAGTCAGCCATCTCTTTCTCTACCTTGTGTAACAGCACAAATTCAAACGCGTAATGTGTTATCATCAAACAATCCAGGAAAGCAGAGACTGCGACTCAAGATAGCAACGTTAAAAAAACGTTTGTTTGGTGCAAAAAGAAGAAAAATAATTACTTATTATTTAATATTTTTATAAGTACTGTTTATAGAATTATTCTATATTTTTGTTGTATATTGGGATATAGCTATTTTAATAAAGCTACTAATCTATGTATTATAAATTCGGCTTGCTCTATAAATCTGTGTAAACAATTTTAATTTTCAAACAATTCTATTTTAATAAAATACATGCACTATATTGTAAACTTATCAATTGCTTAAATAAAGGTTATTTTATTTTTCTTTTTTATTCATAAAATCCTTAAAATACGCTTTAGCTAATGATTTTTTAACAATTATCCCAATTGATTTATACTTATGGATCATAAATGACTAGTGAGATTTGTGGCACAATATTAATAGTTCATTATGACAGGGTAAAATAAACTATTGTTTAAAACTTTATGATTTTTAATTTTGAAACCTCTGTCGGAGGAAGTGTTACAAATCAAAAAATATTTTACTTAAATCGAGAATAGTTTCAAAAGCATTCATGCAAATTTTCATAAAATATGACAACTAATTATGTAAAAGAGAAATGTAGTTTTCGCAGTGTAGGTTCAGTAAATAGCTACGTTCACGTGTACTGTGAATAATTACGTTTTCTCAGAGTATCTCTATGGTGGAACTCAAGGTCAAATATTTCTATCCCTTACTTCAAAGTTCCGACCATTACTTTCTTTTCTGTATTGTTCTTTCTTCTGTGCTCATAGTAATAATTGTATATGAAGACTAGATATAAGGAGGCGAATCGGCCTTGGTCAAATTTCAAATTTCCGTCCCTATTTTTATGGAGTTCCAAAAAACTACTGTAGTTGGCGGGTGGCAAAATAACGACGAATTAAAGTGATTTTTGTAAAATTTAGTGAAAAGAATAAAAATAAGCTGAAATAAAGAACCTGACTACAAGTAACAATGAGTAACAAAAAACGGAAAAGCAGGATATCTTCGTTTCGGGTTGAAAAACGGGATATAAATCCGATATAAAATTAAAGAAAACACAAGGAGATAAAAATCCAAGTCTTTTTAAAGCTCCTAGTGTAAGTAAAATAATGTATTTATTTCTAAATAATATATATTTATTGTAAAATAGTCACAACCCGGAATGTAGTTTATATAATTACAAAATTTTATAATAAAAAATAATAAAGTCTTAAATCCTGACTTACAAACAACAATAATTACACATTAAATTTAACTTACTAGAAAGGAAAATTTGCTTTTTTTATGTTTTTTGATTTTAGATGAAGAGTTACTACTGTTATTTTTCTTTATTGAACTTCAATTTAGTCATTGCAAATATTTGTTATAGGATCCTAAACGTTTAGAACAATGGCAGCATGTGATTCCTAGGGCTGATAAAGTACTGTATAAATTGAACTTAAATTTAGCCAGATTTAGACATTTTTCAAAACACTGTGTATAAAATTAACCAGTTCTATCACCACTATTCGTAAGCTTAGTATCTTATAAGTCTGTGTATTGTACAATTTTGAGATCAATGTATACATGAGCCACTATAAAAGTTAAATAAAATACAGGGTGTTCTGTTTGAAAAAACGTACATTTATTTGCCAGGCAAAAACGCAACACCCGGTATATCCAAAACTATTTTTAAAATATGTATTTTTCAAGTCCATATAACTGTTACTTAAAATTTGTTTGCTTGTCTATAACACAAATTGAAATATTGAACAATTACGCACTAATGGGACACCATGGGATATGTTAAGTATAAATTGGTCAAAAAAAAATCCTATATATGGAAGATTACAATTTTTTTCTGTCTAATTGACAAATTACATTTCCTCTCTGATTTTGTTGGACATGGCCTACATTATAGGAAATAGCGACTAGATGTAAAACCGAAGGTATAATCAAATTGTAATTTTTAACTTAGAATTTAATATTTCAAGTTACAATTCAGAATTATTCAAAATTCCGTGAACATCTCCGAATTATATAGATTAATTAAACATTTTTTATTTGCATGCTTCCGTAATATCTAGACAATTTAAAAAAGCTTTAAATATATTAAAAAGAACTTTAAAATTATCAGTTAGTTGATTACTAAAATGAATCTCCAATATTTTAGAACTTTATTCTAGACACATTATTTACCAGCTTATTAGTGATTTTCAAAATAAACCAACTTGAATCGGAACCAGTTCTATAAAATTCAAATTTTCTACTCACCCGTAGCATCTTTGAGCACAATAACAATAAAAAAACCAAAAACAAGTTCACATTTTAACAAATTCATAATTTTTATGCAATAACAATTGAGCAAACGTGTTACGCCCACATTTCGTTGACAGATGGCAGTTCTGCCGCTCCTTCCTGCCTGTGTATCTGGACCACTCTGGAGGAAAATCGATATTTCCAACGCAGCCTCCACTAGATATAAGGGGCGCGATAGAAGTAAGTGGTGTCGAGAAGGAATATTTTCCGGAAAACCGCAAAATATAAAAAAACAATGAAATACGTTAAAACAGTAGGAAACTTAATAATAATAATGTTTATTCAATTTAAAGTAAATATACATTTTAGTAGATACAGAAGTTTAAAAAATAATAAATAAACATTAATACATCCGCTGAGACACGATTGTGTCTGTGTGCGGGGAAACATAATAATAATTAATAATAATAAATAATAACAATAATAATACTAATGTAATAACTATAACTACAATGATACATAAAGATAATAAAAAATAAAATTAATTAAAACTGGCTAGATAAATAGGAGAACAATTTGCAGTCTGTTAAATTTTTTTTTATATTTATAATTATTTTTATTTTCCACACAATCTTAGACAAAATAATGGTTAAAATCTGTTAAAACTGTTAAAATATTTTGTACACAATCGAGATTAATTAGTGTCACAATAATAATAATTTTAGGAATAACTACATATACCTAAGTTTTATATATGAACATCATGGATTCATTATATTTTGAAAAAATGTTGCACCTGTACTTTGTATCCAATATTTCACATTTTTCTTGTAAATAGTACGAAGCTGAGTTTCTTATGTGTTCAGGTAGGTAATTAAGTAATTTTGTGCTTATATACATGGGACTGCGTTGACCCATGGTTTTTTCACATTTTGGTAGTAAGTATAGATTTTTTGTTCGAGTTTCGTATTGATGTGTTTTGCAATTTTGCAATTCTGGCCTACGTTTATAGATTTTTAACAAAAGTCGTAATGCATATAGTTGTCTAGAATCAAGAATTTGGCTCTCTTTGTACAATTTATCACTTGGGGTAAGTTTTATTTTTTTTATACATTAATTTTATAATCCATTTTTGTATAACGTTAATATTTTGTAGGTAACATTGATTGGTGCTACCCCATCCAATTATACCGTAGGTTATTTGTGATTGGATTAGTGAAAAATAAATTGTTCCAAGATGCCTGATGTCTAAATAATTCGATAAAAATTTAAAACGTGACAGAAAACCCCTAATTTTTTATACAACATGGTCAATATGATAATTCCATCTTATGTGACGGTCTAAAATAACTCCCAAATATTTAATTGTAGGCTGTTCGGGAATGGAAGATGAATCGCTTACTTTTAGCGGACCAATATTGGGTAGGTTACTTACGTCTGAATAAAAGGGTAAGTATTTAGTTTTTTTCAATATTAAGAGTAAGTTTGTTATATTGAAACCATTTCATTATTGTTTGCATTTCTAATTAAGCTGTTGTTTTTAGTGAATCCCAAGTTTTCCCATGTAAAGGATGGCTGTATCATCTGCAAAGCTAATAACAGTGCCGACCGTTATCATTTTTAAAAGTGAATTAATATACAAACTAAACAATAATGGACCTAAGACTGTTCCTTGTGGAACACCGAAGGTTACTTCTCTAATTTCACTTACAACATCATCTACTTTAACTTGTTGTGCATATTGCCCCTAATACCATATGATTCAAGTTTTTTTCAATAACAACTCATGACGAACAGTATCGAAGGCTTTGGACAGATCAAGAAATATACATAACGAGGGTATTTTTTTATCTATATGTGAATATATTTCGGATATTAATTTAAAAATTGTATCCTCTGTTGATCTACCCTCTCTAAAGCCATGTCAGAGAGAACGTCAAATTTGTTCAAGAATTTTGTGATCCGATTTTTACTAATTTTTTCAAATATTTTAGATATTAGATATCAAAGTAATAGGACGATAGTTTATTATTTCATTTTCTTTGCCACTTTTAAATAGGGGTTTGATTGTACCTGTCTTTAAGCAAGTTGGAAATACACCATTTTGAAAGCATTTATTTATGATAAATGTTAAAGGAAGTACTATTTCATTAGTTACTTCTTTTAATGTTTCAGCCCGGATGTTATCTTTACCTGGAGATTTTTTATTTTTCAAATTTTTTATCATATTTTCAACCTCAAGAGTATTTGTAGGGAATAGGAAAATCGAGTTTTCCACTTGTTCAATGTGGTCAACATAGTTGTCAGGAGTTGTTATTTTATTTATTTATATATAAACGGGACATTCCCCTTTTAGTTAAATACAATGTTATGTATAGCATTACACAGTATAATTTCGATTAATAAAATAAAGTTACAAATTAAATAATACAAATAATAGTTTAAAATACAAATAGTACTATAGTACAGTTAATAAAGTACATTTATAAAAAATAAGTAAAAATACACCTTTAATAAGTACCATTACAATACCTTATACTAAACTGCACCCCTGAGAGTCTCCATAAATGAGCTGACGGAGCTAAAGAAATCGAGGTCAGCACGGTAAGTATTTGCGAACCTAGCAGAACGAACAATGAAGGTATTACGTCCATAATTCGTCCTGTGGAAGGGTATTTGAAAAATGTTCGCTGAGCGGGTTGTCCTGGGTGGGACGTGAATTCCTATCTCTTGCAACAATTGAGGACACGGTACTCGAGAATTAAATATGTTATATAACATTATGAAATCTTTCTTGTTTCGACGGCTATTAATAGATTGGATATTCAAATCTGTCTCCAATTTAGAGTAGTTAATATCTTCGACTCCAATACCCTGCTTAAAGGTCACATAACGTAAGAACTTATGCTGGACTCTTTCTAATTTGACAATATGTGAGACATAGTTTGGGGACCAAACACATGAAGCGTATTCTAAATGAGTTCTAACTAAAGAACAATATAAGATTTTAAGTGTGTTGATGTTTGTGAAATCCTGAGTAGTTCTTTTTAGAAATCCTAACATCTGTAGAGATTTGTTGATAATATTTGAAATATGTGGATCAAAAGATAGTTGTGAGTCAAAGTTGACCCCTAGATCTCTAATAATATTGCAGTTCTCCAAGATATTGGCACTGATTGTATATTGAAAATTAATTGTATCACGAGTTCGATGGAATATGATAACATTACATTTATCCGAATTTAGGCTCATTCCATTTAAGTCACACCAATTGACTAAGTTATCTAAATCAGACTGCAATGACACACAGTGAAGGTCAGATGATACTGTAGAGTACAGTTTGAGATCATCTGCAAATAAAAGGAATTTACCAAAATGAAAACAGGATTTAATATCGTTTACAAATATATTAAAAAGTAGTGGTCCTAGATGTGAGCCCTGCGGGACGCCTGAAGGTACGTGTATGCCGTATGACTTGTAGTTTGAAATATGTACAATTTGACGTCTATCAATTAAATAGCTTTCTAACCAATTTAAAAGTGATCCATTTACCCCAGCCATTTTCAATTTGTGAATTAAAACTCTATGGTTTACCCGGTCAAAGGCTTTGGAGAAATCAGTATAAATAGAATGCACTTCATATCCATTTTCAAGGGCATTTGACAGGTAGTGGGAATATGTTAATAAATTTAATTCTGTTGAACTTTTACGTCTAAAGCCAAATTGTTGATCTATGAGTATATTGTTGAGTGAAGATGTTAAAGGTTCGCAAACCAGATTTTCAAATAATTTTGGTATAGTACTCAAGATACTGATTCCTCGATAGTTCTTTACTTCGGATTTGTTGCCAGATTTAAAAATTGGTGTTATATAACTTATCTTCCAGACTGTTGGAAATATGCCCAGAGAGAGAGAAAAGTTAAAAATTATGAACAGCGGTCGTGCTAAAATAAAAGAACATGGTTTTAGAATAGATGGAGGAATTCCATCCGGCCCAGGACACTTACGAATATCTAAAGCTGCTAGTTTAGTATAAACATCGGATATTTTAATATCACAGTTAAATATATTTATGTTATTGACATATACAGGTACCTTTGAAATATCACAATCATTATGAACATATACTTTTGAAAAAAAATCAGCAAACAAATTAACTATATCATTGCCACTAGAACTTGTTATGCCATTATATATTAATTCACTAGGAAAGTTTGAGGTTTTTCTTTTGTCATTTACAAATTTCCAAAACTGTTTTAAGTTATTTGGTATTGAAGATTCTGTTTGAGAAATATAATTGTGATGCGATTCTTTTACCAGTCTTTTACAAAGTGATCTAAGTCTTGCAAACTCTTGATAATCTTGTAATGAATTAGTTATTTTGTATTTTTTATGAGCTCTTTTTTTAGTTATTATACAGTTTCTCAGTTCTGTGGAATACCATCTAGGAAATGTTGTGTTACAGAATTTTTTCAGTGGTACATATAGATCAATAGCTAAATATATAATATTATATAAAATATTTACCATGTTTTCAAGAGTTTGATTATAAAATACTTCTTCCCAAATGAAACTGCTTAAAAATATTATGATTGACCTAGTATCTGCCGATTTAAAATCTCTATAAAAACCTTCAGGCGTTAAACCAGCTTGGTTACTGTCAATAAAACTACAGATACATTGTGATTTTGCATAAAAATTAAGTCTAAAATTGAATTTACATTGTTATGGATAGAGTTAAGTTGAAATAAGTTATGAAAAGCACACATATTAGATAAGACTTCAAGAGATTGAGCTTCTGATGGTGATGCCTTGAATAATGGTGCAGCTATTGAACTCAAGTCATCATTTAACCAGGCAATATGAGGGAGATTAAAGTCTCCAAGAATGCAAAGTTGAGCACTGGGAAATTGTTCATAAATTTGGTCCAGTTCATCACTCAGTGAAATATATGCAGCAGTAGGTGATTTTGGGTGGAAATAGGCAACAGATAAAATATACTGAGAGTTGGCTTGGCCCAATAGTACAAACAGATATTCATAATTTTGAGATGATTTAATAACTTTGGAGTTGATAGCTTTGTGAACTGCAGTGAGTACGCCACCACCTCTAGAATAGTTACTAGTTTCTTGTGTACGATCCTTTCTATAAATATTGTAGTTGATCATATTAAGTTCTGAGTTGGTGTGACCATTTGTCAGCCATGTTTCAGTCATAACAATTATATCATACTCACAGGATGTAACATTTTCCAACAAAGTATGCAACTTTGTACGGATGCCGCGAACATTTTGATAATAGACTGTTATGGTGCCTTTTTTGTTAGATGTGTGGCGACTTGAAGTATCTCTATAAGGATTAACTAGTTTTTTTTAATCACTGTAGGATTTCCATTTACATATCTTATGCGCACTTCTTCCCCATTAGATCGTCTAGTTTGTAATTCATGTTGGGCAGATTTTTCAGCTTCTTGTTGTTTTTTGGTTAGATCTGCATTGACAAACACTTTGGTTGTTTTTAGGTTGGCTCTACCATTCAGGACGTTTGTGACTTCAACTTTGCTAGATAGCTGCACTTTTAAAGATCGAAAACCATTTTTGTTAGCTTTACCAACTCGTGCTAGGTTTTTGATTGTAATGGGTTCTGAAGTTGCCTTACTAATTAATTTTTGTACTTCTGCATGATCGTTGTCGCTGTCTGCTAGGTTGAAGAACATAACGTTATGGGATCGTTTTTCACGTTCGTATAACTCGGACATGATATCTTGATTGCTTGTGGTTAGGGCCGGATAATCATTGTTTGTGGTTAGTGCCGAATTGGCAGTTGCTTGTCGGTTTTGGTTTTCCACCTTAGCCTTAAGGGCTTCTAGCTCCGATGTTACGTCGTCAATTGCTTTAGATAAAACTGGTAGCTGATCTATTTCTTTTTTAAGATAAGTGATCTCTTTTCTTAGTATTGCCATTTGGTTCAGAAGAGCTGGGACACTCTTAAAGGCTGTGCGACAATCTGGGCAAAAGTAAACTAAGGTCCTTTTCTGAATAACTATGGCTCGTAACTCAGAAGCTGTAAGACCAGTGCAACTATCTGATAAGTGCATTGTCGAATGACAACTGTCGCAATTTATAAATTTTTCAGAGTCTACAACAGTACTGTCACAGTTGCTTACCATTTTTAAAAATATACAATTTCTCCTGGACTATCGCAAAACTATTAAATTTTGCAGCAAAAAGCTCCTTGACTATCGAGTTCCAACTAATTGAGATTGCCTTTATCACAAAATGTTTTTTGACTTTTAGTAAAAAAAAAACTTGTTTTGGTTAAGTTTTGTGATTTAAAATGAAGTTATACTTAACAACAACTATTTTTCACTGGATAACACTCACTACGTATAGATAATAAATCTGGTTTTATTTTGGTATAAAAATGAACTTAAAAGACCGTAATTTCCCGTAAGAAAAACCGGATTTTATTGGAGTAAAATAAACCTGACCTTTTTGTTCCAACAAATTCACCGCATAATTAGCATAATTTCTTCCCAAATCACTGTAATGGGTGTTAAAATGATTACTTATTTCATATTTGTCAGTAATAATGTTATTATTAATTACGATATTTTCGATTTTTGTTTCGGGTGTGCCTTTGCCGCAGATTTGGTTTACACATCGCCATAAATTTCTTGAGTTGTAACCATTTTTGTCAATAAGTGATTTCGTATATTTGTATTTTGCCTTATTAATTTCCTTAGTAAGGTTATTTTTTAGAATGTTATAATTATTTTTTAAAACTATGTTATGGGGGTCATCTTTCAGTTGCCTATACATATTGTTTTTTATAATAATTGATATTATAAGTTCTTTTGTAACCCATGGTTTTCTAGGACTATTTTTTTATACCTTTTATTTTTTTTGTATTCTTTTCAATATAATATTGCAATTGATCAATAAAATTTTCCATAATGTTGTTGGCATTATTTCCAGTGTAGACATTTTCCCATAGTTAGATAACAATGAATTGATAGCCAGTATATTGTTCGAAATTAATTATTCGGAACTCAATTATTCGAAAGTCAATTATTCGATCGATCAATTATTCGAAAGTCAATTATTCGAAAGTCAATTATTCGATAGATCAATTATTCGAAAAGCATTTATTCAAAAGTCAATTGTTCGAAATCAATGATTCGGACAACCTGAATCAACAAATCTATTAATCTCCATGGATTCCATCTCTCTTAACAACTGATAAATTGACAAATACTAATCCATATTAATGACTGACATCACAAGAAATAATATGATTTGGATATTATATACAATCTATGCTTGGACAAGATATATTTAACGTTATTTTGTAATCTTTATCCTTTTATTTACAAAATTTATTGATATCAAAGATTAACAAAGTAGTAAGCTTTATTTGACTTATTTCACTGCCAATCAGAATAATGTTCACATTTGTCATAAACTTTCACAGTTCACATTTTAAAAATATTTCATATAAATCTTTCAAAATTTAATTCATTATTTCCGAAGGAATTGTTTAATTTTCTTTTGGTATTATTTGGTATTATTTTAGAGCTGTCTTTCCATAACATGACAATACATATACAGGATGTCTCATCAGTGCCTAATTGATCGATAACTATTTTATTATTGGACATGCGAAGACAGTTAATATTTTACAATTACTTTTAAATATACAGGATGGTCCATAAATGAAGGGTAAACCAAACTTATGCTTTTTTAAACGAAATACCCTGTAAATAGTTACAGATAACAGGTTTTGTTCTTTTCCTATCGTTAAACAATTTTCATTCATTTGTTATAATGTATTTATGCGTTTAAAAGCGAGATTACGATATTTTTAATTTTTTCAAATGCAATACTCTGTATGTTATATCACAAATTTATAAATTAATTTCTTAATTTTTCATTTCCGATACCCAAGCACATTTTTTCTCGAGATTTTGATGGTTTTATCATGAAAATTTACATCTTTTATCGCATTTTTCTAATTGGCTTTTGAAAATATGGTCCTACTTAAGCTAAATGGTAAAAATTGTTGTTAGCCCATTTGTCAGAAATAATGGATGGTTTTTTATTCCGTCTACGTCACAAACAATATAATTCATTGTAAATAAAATACAAAAATGTGTTTTAGTATAAGAAATGCCAAACAAAATTAAAAGTAATCATAAATATTATTAATTAATTCATTAATTGGTGGACTAACATGCAGAATTTAAAAAAATGGAGAAAATGTACTAAGCTCCTTATTTTGATACATAGTAAATGAATAAAAATGCAAAACATTTTTAAGAACATTAAATCTATTAAATTGTTTGACGTTATGTCCAACTACCTACGTGTTTACTTTAAAAATGTGCAAGTTTGGTCAGCTACTCATTTATGGACTACCCTGAATATTTAAGAGTAATTATAAAATATGGTCATACAACTTTTGTATAAAAAATTTCTTCGTATCTCCAATAATTAACCTGTTATCGATGGGACACCCTGTATATAAACATAAAATTAAAAACCTCTGTTTTGACCATTTAAAATTAAATTAATTTTGTCGGGGTGCATATAATAAGTAGGCTTAAGATACTTTTTAGGTATTAAAATCCTCAAAATTATAATAACAATGAAGCAAAAATATTCTTATTCTCAAATGTGACCAATTTAAAATAAATGAAAAAATAAAAACATCTTAAAGACCGTGTCACACAAAATACGAGGGACCATTTCCCTCTTGAAAACAACTGCTCCCTTGGCTAATACCACAACAGCATTATATCAAAAGGTGAATAGCAGAAATAGAAAATAATTTTCAACAGTCTTACTTTGAGTTTGCTTCCTAAGAAGGACCAATTTCGTCCTTATTAGGACTCTTCAGCAAGAAATAGACAGTCTCAACTCCAGAGTCTAATGAAGTTTGATGATAAAACAATCTTCACCCGCACACATTAACGACGGTAAAAAAGTATGTAGATATTCAATGAGCAAATACTAATGTCATGATCCAAGTATTAGTTTTTTTTGGAAGTCTTCTGGAGAAGGCTCTGTGTAGGTAAGCTATAGTAAAAAGTACATTATTGGGCAGATATTGTAAGTAATTAAAAGTTAACCGTATTGACCATTACAAAAATATGAGTAATATAAGAAATAGGTGCAACTAGTCATATTGCCAACCAGGTGTATTGCAAAATGGCCACACAAAATATTGTTAATGTAATGAATGTTATTAGGGAAAAATTGAATTAAAAGGTCAAATTAATAACGCAAGTCCAAAAAATAAATTTATTATGACAGGTCAATACAGGGTTATTGCAAAAAGAGATTTTTTATTCATAAAAATCAAATTTTCACTTACAATCTGGACATGATAAGAGCATGACTAAATAATAAAATAGCTCGCATTACAGTATCTTACTAATAGAACGTTTTCTGGATGCTTGGAAAAATATTTTGCAACCTCATCATGACCATGGCCATGGCCATATTGCTATCTATCAATAAATACCATATTGCTCACATGTACCAAATCAACTGTTTTTTCAAATATCACGCACTATCATAAACTTATCAAAAAAATAACTGCACAATGTTATCATCGTAAATTTTTACAATCTAAACATAATATCAATTTAACCCCCAGTGAAAAAATGATTTTTAGATTACGTTTTTCATGATTAAAAAAATGAATTCATAAAATTGTAGGGACATATATATCCCACTTAAAGTTTTACAAATACTAGTGGGTACTTTCTTTGCTCTTTATTCATTAGTAGTTGTTGTCCCAGTCGTTATTTATGCTTTGTATTCATAGTTTTGTTAGGTTAGTTAGTACAAATATTTGCCAATTTGTAAACATAAAATTGTGGTGCTCCTCTTAATTAGTCTTTTTTTTTAATTAAAGTTGTGGTTTATTACGATTTAACATTATGTCAAGGTAAGTTTATGCATTTCTTTATAAGTGTGCAAGATTTTTTTCTGCTAAAGAGTTATATTTTCGTCAAATTTTACTACCCTTTCTAGATGAGACTTTTATGTCCCACCGTAATATGTTTATCTCAATTATTGCGTGGGTTAATATTGATGTTTTTGTTATTATTTTCAGAAAAAGAGCTCTAACCTCTAAAGAGCTTGAAGACGTAGCTTTGCACATAAACAAATATAAGGACGACTCAGATTTTGAAGAGCCTTATCAAGACTCTGGGTCCGATTATGAACCAGAAAATTCATCTTCCGAAAGTGATTTGGAAGTACCTGCACGAAAACGCAAAAAGAATTCTCCATTACATAACAGTGAGTTACCCAGTACCTCCAGCATCGAAAAATTTGCTGAAGTCGAAATTCATAATATTATAAACCTAGAATCGGAGGTAGTATCAGAGCTCGATGTAGAACCACAACCCGAAGTAGAACTAGGACATGAGACAGAAGCTGAAACTAGTAAGTATTCCAATATTCACTGGACCACTGATGGATCTTCGTTTGTTCCCTCAAAATCTGTACCAGTCAAGAAATCCCCAACGATTTTACACTCGGATATCACTCATAAATCTTCTGAACTTGAATGTTTTTTAAAAATATTTCCAAAAAGTTTATTTGAAGAATATAACCTTAAAATCAATTTTATTATAAATAAATACAGGAACGACTAGTTTCGGCTTTACAGGAACATCTTCAGGCCTGTAATACAATAATCTTTATTTATTATAATAGGTTGGTCACTTACGAATAACATTAAATAGTATAAGCCATAAAAATGGATCCATATTGTAGCGTTACAGCATTATAGAATTAAAGCTGTGAAAATAAAAGAGCAGTGCAAACTTAACTAAAAATAAGAAAACTGAGTACGGAATCTTCAAGAGAATAGGTGAGAATGACCTTTAAATTGCTCGGGTTAACAAATAAAGCTGATAATGTAGTGGTATAGTTCCCGTCAAAGAAGGTCTGGATATGTTAAAGAGGACGGCGTTTTCTCTGTAAATCTGGAGAATGTAAGGATGGAGGGAAGACGAATCTTGCTGGCTCAGGTGGCTAGAAAAAAGGGCGTGTAGATGAAAGCTCCAGTAAATATCGTCACTTTCGTCTAATTTTTTCTCACTCACCGTTTCGGCTTTATCTTCGAAATTCATTTTCAAAAGGAAATAAAACTAATCATTCATACAAGCATATAATAAATCAACATGAAATCATTATATTTAATAAGCTAATAAACGTTTGTTTCAATGAAAAAAAAAACATATGTGAATATAAAAAATATATAAATAGATAAGATTAATATCAAAATCAATATGAAAATACAACAGATAATAAAATGAAATAAATTAATACAAGTACAAATAGCAGTTAATAACATACCTTCTAAAAGTAACACATTTTAAGTAGATAAATGTTTAAAGAGTTTATTTCTGAACATAACTAATCTAACGTTTTTCCCCTTTTTAATATTATGAGGGTTTTTGTAGTTGAAATGAAAATTATAATTTATTTTAGTCCTAATAAAAACTTAAATATAGGTTATCAAAGAGTAAAATACATAATAGAACTTCATAATCTTAAATCGTTATCAAAAATTAGTAATGGTAAAACTTCAAACAATAATTAGATTCTTAAACAAATTTCTAGTTTTTGTTTTGCAAAAGACTTTTTTGCCTTCTTCAGTTGCCTTTGCCACTTTTCTTTTAGTAGTTTCGAGGAGAATTTTCCTATGAAAACCAGTAGAACCATCAATTGGTTGGTAAAATTTTGATATTTTGGGTCTGGTAAGTCTTGTTAAACTTTCTTCTTAGGAAGCTGTAACCTTATGGAGAATAAAAATTGAATGTTAGATCAAAAGCGCATAATTGAGAATTATATTTGCATAGGCCGTTTTAATAATATTTTCAAAAGTTCTTGGAATCGTTGTTAACAGAAACCTGCAAAAAAATATATCATTTTATTCCTAAAATATAAAATATCACACAATGCACATTCATATAATATCATTGTGCTAGAAAAATACTAGGTAGGTACTGAGACAATTTAAAAAAAGTATTTCGAGAAACTCAACTTTTAATGTTATCATTGTACTTAACTTTTTTATTGCTAAATTATTAATAATGTAATTTTGTATAGTTCGTTGTGATTTGTATAATATATATTATAAAAACCTATCGTCAATGTTAATGTGCAAAGTTTTTTTAATAATTATGTCCTTGTTATAGTAAAAACACATTCAAACACATTTTTAAAGTTTTCTGGATTTCTGCTTTAAATTATCGTACAATTGAACTGACTTATTGTGTGTTTAAGTAATGGTATATCTCTTTTTTGTTATAACAGTCTTTGTATATTGTTCTAACTTTTTAAATAATTAGAGAAAACAGTAAGACATCTTAATATATCCTATCTCACCAACAAAAATGTAGAATAATTATTAATCTCACATCAAACGAAAAAAGTCATTTTAGGATGTCCTAATAGGTTTTAACTTAAAAACTAAATAAAATGTATATTGCAACTGTGTTTAAATAAATAAATGTTTTTATACCTGACTATAGCACCAGGCAAACGTTTTTATAGATCATAATGATCTGCATAACTCAAAATAGTCAAAATCCACATTATTTAAGTTGTTCTAGTATTGTTTGAGCATAACGATGTAAACTCCAATAATAAATATTCACATTTTTTTGGGACGTTTTTTAAGGAAATTAAAAAAAACATGAATAATGTGATATTCTTGTTTAGTTTTGTACTATATAATATAGTTCATTAGGTAGTGATTTAGAAGCAAATTATGTTCTATTTATAGAATAAAAAACCACTCATAATATCTAAATATTTATACCAGGAAGACTATTTTATGTTTTTGGCTCTGAATAGTTTCCTTAAGAATTTTAAAACCTTCCTTAGCTCTTTTGGGACATTCCATGCATATCTTAGAAGTTCATTTTGTTTAAACCTGAAACAAATTAAGTACAAAAAATGAAAATTTAAACAATACACAAAATTAGTCTTTTAGATTAGTTAAAAAAGGTGTCAACAAAAAAATGGATATGCCTTTTTCCTTAAACATTCTTTCTGAAAGAAACTTAAGTTTCGACTTACTTGCTGTTTTAGTATTTTAGTAGCAGATGAATATAGTGTAGAAGTAGTGACAGGATTGATTATTATACTTCTTTCGTCGAAATTGCATTTTTTTTTTAATATTTTCCTCCCCTGAGGAATGTTCACAATCATAAAAAGTTATTCAGGTGGTCACTTGTTGAATTCCTATATTTTGGAACCATTAATTTCTTTCTCATATTAAGAAAAGGAAACCTAAAAAAAATAACAATAATCTTTACAAAGATGTGATATTAAAATAATAATAAGTAATTAACCTTTACTGTAATCATTATGAGACGGATGAAGACGAACTTAGCTGGAGTTTACTTGCACTTAATTTTAATTTTTCGATAAGAAAATAAGAAAGTTTAATTGCGAATTAAAGGTGATTGCCTAGTGCACCGCCTCTGATAATTAGGTTGTGTCTGTACTTACTTATGATATTATCTTGAAGAAGCATTTTCAACAGGCCTTTTACACATAAAGCAGGTTTTCACCATATTATTAGAGATAATAAATCTTAAATATACATTTACAACCCTTACAACGTTATAAATAATAATATTTTCCGTAAAATACAAATAAGAAATTGACATGTGTCAGAAATTGTCAGAACCCCGTCAGAACTGGCGCTGTCAAACTTGGCAACGCTGATTAAATAAGCCAATTACAGAAGAGGTATTTTCCCCCTCGGGGGGAGTAGATGTTGCTAACAAAATTTAGCGCGGGGAAGGGGGGAAGACTTCCTCTAGTAGTAATTGCTCGGAGGAAGAAATCCTAATAATAATTGTCATTATCTGTCATGACACGTAAATGTCACGATACGTTTAACAATTTCAACTCATATTTTGGACTATACCGTAAACATTATTTTTGTGCGTTGACGTTCACGTTTACGTTAACGTACTCGAAACACTTCAACTCTCTTATATCTCACAAACGTGACGTTCCAATTATTGCGTTTTTGGTTAATCTGACTACTGTTCATCAAATTTCTAGAGGCTTTCGACGGCTAGACAGAGAAAGCACTACTGACAGGCATCCCGACGGATTTACACAATGAAAGTACACTCTGCGCATCAAGTATTTCACTATTTCATTCAGACGTAAATGTCAGATGTGAATTTCGCTAAAACATTTCTTTTATTTTCGTTTGTATTTTTTGCTCATTACAGTTTAATAGAACCTAAGTATGGAGTTTAATAGCAAATTAAGAGGCCGCGTGATTAACAGTCAATCTCGCGAAATAATAGCCAATGTTATAGAGTTTATGAGAAGAGAAGGAAACTTTAATTCACCTTCAATACCATTTAAAAATGTAAATGATCGTGTTGCGGCAGCCACAGGAGTATCTAAAAACACTGTTTCCGCATTTCTGGAGAGAAAAAAAGAATCGATAACCGTGAGATATCGGAATTTTCATCACCAAGAGAAACCATTAAAAAACCAAAAACAGTTAATGATATAGATGAAGCTGCACATGAATCAAATTTTATTTTTTTATTATTAGATAGCCATTTTTGTTTCTGAGTTGTGTTCATTTACAGGCTCAATTTTTTCCGTTTCTCCCTTTTGATTTTATATGGGGTTTCAAGTTGTTTTTGACTTACTTATTTCGACGTAAATCACAACAACACACTTTTTTAATAAAGCAAAGTGTTAAGAGGTATATGTACGTGTAAACTACAATTACAAAAAATTGATATGAAACCCATGAAACCACCAACAAAAATGTAAAGCTAGCTTCCGTACTAGAACATGGTGTCATTCGTCGAGATAATTTATCGTTTTGTTTAATAGATCAAGAAATGTAAATATTCCCCTGTTATTTTTTATAAAATTATAAGAGAAATAATTTTTTTTCTAAATAGTAAAGTTTATTATTTTGTAGAAAAACAAAATTTCGAAAATTTTAGTAATGTTTCAGAAACAACCGTTATTAATAATAGGTACCATTTTCCTTAATAAGGTAGAAATAAAATATAAACTATTTCCACGATTTACAAAGGCCTACAAAAAAATTATAGGTATTTTCCGCTATCCTATAAAATTTATATTTTCTGACTCAATTTCAAAAGGTTGAAGGAATTCCAAAACACCTTTTATGGCATAATAATTATTTTCAATTCTACATACTATCTTTAGCTGCTTTTAAAAACGTTCTAAGAAAGTCCAATCAGACCAATTTAATCCCTAAACTATTCCACACTTTTAAAATTTAGTTACCTAAAAATATTAAAAACTATTTAAAATAACTTGTTTAGCAGACTGTACAATAGCTATCTTAGTCACACGTAGCGCGTTCTCTGTCTGGGCGTCGAACACCTCTAAAAATTTGATGAACTGTAAGG